ATCTTTCTCCACAGATCATGTTGTTTGACAAGTAAATCTCTAAACGCAAAAAGAAAAACAATATAGATTTGTAAAATAGTATAGCTAAATACTACCACTTTTCTGTCAGTTTGTCATACGGAAGTAGCGCTTATGTTGTTGAGATGCTGGAAGCTATGCCATCAGGGTTTTAAATACAGGTAGGGTGACCTATAGTGGACGGGTTTCAGTGGAGTTGTCCTTAAGCTAGGACAGCTTCCTAGATAGACAGACTAGGAAGAAGGAGAAGTAGACTACATCTAAATGTTTGGCCACTGAAAAATCTCATGAACAGTAGCAGAACATTGTCTGACATAATGCCTGAAGATGAGCCCTCAAATTGGAAGGCACTCAAATACGACTAGGGAAGAGCTTACTCCTCAAAGTAGAGTTGACCATGTCATGAATGGAGTAAAGGTTTTGAGAACTTCTTCAGCTGAAGAGGCACTACTCAAAATGAGGAAAAAGAGCTGCAAACATCCATTAATAATTGGAACAACGAAAGTACGAACTATGAAACTAGGCAAATTGGAAGTTGTCAAAAATGAAATGAAACACATAAAGATATATATCCTAGGCATTCATGAGCTGAAATAGACTGATATTGATCATTTTGATTTCAACAAGGATCACCACTGGACTGCGCACTATCAGGCCGGGCATTTCAAACCCACCAGTTGCTCTTTGGAAACCCTCTGCGGGGTCGCTATGATTTGGAATTGACTGAATAGCACTTAATAACAAGTCCCTTGAGAAGGACATCATGGTTGGTAAAGTGGAGGGTCAACAACAATTAGGAAGACCCCCCAATGAGATGGACTGACTATGGCAGCAGCAATAGGATTAAATGTAATAACCATTGTGAGGCTGGCTCAGGACGAGTCAGTGTTTTATTTTGTAGTGCACAGGGTTGTTATGAGTAGAAATTGACTCTACAGCACCTAACAACAACAACATAGCTAAATAAAATAAAATATGATCTAATACCAACATAAACAGCTATCTAAACAATAAATTGTATTCTTATTTAAGCTAATCTTTCCATTGATAGCTATTTGTTTACATAAGTTTTGTCTTGATATGAGATGTCAGAAATTAATAGTTGCCAAATCTAATCTTTGAACTACAAGGTCAGCAGTTCAAACCCACAAGCTGCTCCTCGGAAACCCTGTACAAGTCACTATGAGTTGAAATAGCTCCACAGTAACAGCAGTAACAAATCTAATCTAGGAGCACAGTGGTTCATATGATAAGCAGTGGACTATGAACCATAAGGTCTTCGGTTTAAGCCCACCAGCCACTCTGTGGGAGAAAGATGAGGCTATCTGTTTCCATAAAGATTTACAGACTCAGGAAACCTATGGAGCAGTTCTAGTCTGTCCTATGTTGTTGTTAAGTGCCATCGAGTAGATTCCAACCCATAGCGACCCTGTATAGGGTTTCCAAGGAGCAGCTGGTGAGCTTGAACCACTGACCTTGTAGTTCAAATGACTTTGTAGTCTGATGCATTAGCCCACAATGCCACACCCAGGACTCCATTCTGTCCTATAGTATATCCTATATGTCAGTGGGTTTGATTGTTTGTTTTGGTTATCTATAAAGCATGCTTTCCTTCCACATGATCCATTTTATCATTAGAAAGCTTAACAAAAGTGGTGGGGATGGTTGGTGATGGTTCCATGGAGTCGTCCTGACTCATAGCAACCCTACAAAGGTTTCCAAGGCTGTAAATCTTTACTGGCACAGAAAGACTCCTCTTTCTCCCTTAGAGAGGCTGGTGGAGTCAAACTACTGACCGTTATGCTAGCAGCTCAACATGTAATCCACTACATAGTGACCAGAATTTCTTTAAGAAAAATAGAAATTATGAATTTGCTAATTATTCAAACCTCATCTTACACATTAAGGAGCTCTGATAGCACGTTGTTGTTGTAGTGGTTATGAATCGGACTGTGAACCTCACAGTCAGCAGTTTGAAACTACCAGCTGTTCCAAGGTAGAAAGATGAAAACCCTATACAGGGTCTCTATGAGTCGGAACCAACTCCATGGCACATAACAACAACAACATATTACACATTAGCCCTTATTCATCATTAACTATGAAAAGGAACTCTGGTAGCGTAGTGGTTACAAATCGGGCTGGTATCCTCAGGGGCAGCAGTTTGAAACTACCAGCTGTTCTGTGGGAGAAAGATAAAACTTTCTGCTCCCGTAAAGATTTACATCCTAGGAAACCCTGTACAGGGTCACTATGAGTTGGAACCGACTCCACAGCACATAACAACAATACTTTATGAAACCATCTCAAATAGTCACTAACTTTTACACTAAAGAATATTGTAATTTTAAAAAATGTACTCTTAAGTAGTTAGCTTTTCTTTTTAATCATGCCTTAGCATGGATTTCAATTATGCTTCTCTGACTTAAAGCTGTTGATTGATTACTAATGAGATGACTGACAAAACCAAGTAATAGGCCTGTATCCTTAAACCTCTGTTCCTATATCCACCACTCTTTATTGATATAATAGGATATGAATTAATTTTAAAAGGTGGTTACTATTGATTACTTAATGGAAGAACATAGAGCAGAGAATTGCTGAAGTTAGCCTATTTCATGCCCTCCTGGGCAACTTGGCCCATTATCCAGTGGTGGAAATCAGGCCTTAACCCTTATGAATATTTAATAGGAAGGAGACAGTGTAGGTGTAAGATCAAAAATTGCCCCAGGCATAAGTTGTAGAAATATTTCAAGTATATAAAAGCATAAGAGATTTTGCTTTTGTTCATATTGTTTAGAAGCAGCAAAATGGTCCACTGGGTTCCCTTCTGTGATTTCTAAGCACAGTGGCCTGGAGAAATGCCTCCTAGGCAAATTGAAGAGATTAACGCTGTAGTTACCTAAACACTAAATGTTGTTGCTAAGTACTGTGGAGTCAGTTCCAACTCATAGTGGCCCTGCACAGGGTTTCCGAGGCTGTAAATCTTTACAGGAACAGAAAGTCTCATCTTTCTCCTGTAGAACAGGCTGGTAGTTTTGAACTGACGACCTTAAGGTTAGCAGCCCGACTTGTAACCACTACGCTACCAGAGATCCTAAATGAGGAAATGCTACCAGAGCACTAAAGCAGGCGACCATTTTCAAGTGTGGTTCTAAATTTCAGCCCCTTTCTTCTCCTTTCCAAACTGAAGGGCTTGTTCAGTTAGGGTGGCTAATCAGCACAAGGTGCTAATTGTGTTTAACACAGCCATCATCCTTGGGCTGTATCTTCTATCACACTGTCTATCAAGCTAACCCCTTGTCACAAGTCAGGATCTTTCTGTTTCAGCTTATTTAAAATGGAAACAAGGAGTTTTAAAGATAGCTGGTGGGAATCCGTGAACATAAGAGTGCGTGTAAAGACTGGGAGACTTTGAAGCTGACTTGAACTAAATTGGCTGTGATTTCTGAAACAAAAGAATACATTTTATAGATTACTATTATTAATTTTTCAGATCTCTAGGTTATTTTTCAGTACCCACAATTAATTTTATTTTATTTTTAATACAATAAGCTTAGAGTGAGATAAGTTTCTAAAGAATAAAACAGATTCTTGAGATTTATAGGTACACAAAGAACATGCTATCAGATATCTAGATCCTAAACAACGTATAAAATTGAATAGAGACTGAGGAAATACCAACTTTTTGATTCAATGACTCTAAATATACATTTTTAAATGTGTTTAGGAGAATCATTTACTTTGTAGCATGTCAGAATGTGTTTATAATTACCTGCTTTAAAAGATTTAATTTTATTCCCAACCCCAGAGCCTGCATACCTGAATGCTTGTTGTTCTTGTTAAGTGCCACAGTCAGTTCTGACTCATAGCAGTGCTATATAGTGTTTCCAAGGAGCAGCTGTTAGATTTGAACTGCTGACCTTGTGGTTCCAATTTCAAGTCCAGTGGTGATCCTACAGTGCCACACCAGGAGTACTTGAATGCTAATTTTAATTGTGGGTTAATGCACTGGACTGCAAAGTTGGTTTGATACACAAGGTTGGTGGCGCAAGCTCACCAGCTGCTTCTCAGAAACCCTATACAGGGTCTCTGTGGGTTGGAACTGACTTGATGGCACTTAACAACAACAACTACTACATGTATGCTCTCTTTTTCAGATCAGCAGCTTCAAAGTTTCAAGAATTAGCAATGGACATTTATTTATTTATCTTTAAGCTTCCCATTGACAGTATCTTTGTAAGAAAACTAAAAGCCCAAACCACTGACCTACTGTCATCACATCAATTCTGACGCAGTAACCCTACATAAAAACTGTAAATCTTTACAGGAGCAGACAGCCTTATCTTTCTCCTGCAGAATGACAGGTGGATTTGAACTGCTGACCTGGAACTGGTGACACTAAATAGGCATGTGTTGAGCATGTGTTCACTTTTATTTTTCCAAAAAAACTTTATATTTATGAAGCATAGAGGCAAAACTTCTCCCCATGCTTAGATTTTGCTGGTTGTTTTGTTGTTACTGTTTTGTTGATTGGTTAGTTGGTTGATTGGTTGGTTAATACTACATGCCATTCTCCCAGGAAAATAAATTAGTGGTCAACTCGTTTCAAGAAGGCTCAGTTTAGAATCCATAGGTTTTTCATTTGTCTTTTCCAATAGCAAATGCAACATTATAAACAAAAAACAATTTAACATACTTTCCAAGGTGCTTCATACTTTTACATTGAACATATGAAGACATTTTCTTGATTGTAAATATAATAAATTAATAATATTTGCACTTTAAATGCCTTTAGATATTTCAGACAGAAAAGCATCTTAAAGATCATAAGAGTATTTGTAAGAAAGTAGTGCTGATTAAGTTATGATCAACTTCATCAGTTAAGTTAGCATACAACTTTTATGTAACTATATTATCAGTTTTAACCATGAGTCACAAACTCTAACTTTGCATTTCTTTGCCTTTCTTTTTTTTTATAGCGCAGCAGCAGCTTTGGGAATTTTGATCGTTTTCGGAATAATTTCACATCAAAACCAGATGATTCAACTGAGGTAAGTATTTGACACTCTTTTTATGGATGTTATATGCAAAAATATGAAGCTAATATCACTTTTGCAAACTATAGTAAGAATGACCCTTATACTTTCAATAGTGGATCTTACATGTAGTTTTGTGATAAATGATTAAACAATTATTTAGTATCAAGTACCATGCTGGGCTGGAGTCCTGGTGTGACACTGTGGGCTAATGTGTCAGAATGCAAAGTCGTTTAAACAGCAAAGTCGGTGATTCAAGCTCACCAGCTGCTCCTTGTAAACCCTATACAGGGTTGCTATGGGTTGGAATCCACTCAATGATGCTTAGCAAGTGTGTTGGGCAAGGAGCTCTGGAGGTAGAACAGTTAAGCACTTGATTGCTAACTCACAGTTATTGTTATCAGGATTAATGGCGATTGTCACAACTGTAAATGTAGAAGAGATGTAACTAAAAGAGGGGAGGGGGAACAGTTAATATGTCATTTCAGGAACAGAGGACCCTGGGACCATCAAGAGGGAAGAGCATGAGAAGAGTTGAGGGATCCTTTCACTGAATTGTTGGCAATTCAAACTCAGCCAGCAGCTCTGTGGGAGAATGACCTACTGGTCTACCTCAGTAACGATTATAGCCACGAAAACCTTAATGGGAAGTTCTACTCTAATCATGTGGTGGTGTTGCTGTTGTTAAGTGCCGTCGAGTCCATTCCAACCTATAGCATCCCTATAGGGGTTTTCCAAGGAGCAGCTGGTGAGTTTGAACCACTGATCTTTCAGTTCAAATGACTTTAGAGTCTGACACATTAGCCCACACCACCACAACAGGACTCTTATGAGTCAAAATCAACTAGATGGTACCTAACAATAATACCATGCTGGTTAAGCTATTTTAGAAACCTAACAGATATTTAGAAAGGGACAACATGAATTTAAGAAAATGGTTCAAAGTGACACAAACAATCCCAACTTTTCCAAGCATTTCTACCAGGAAACAATATATACAACAACTTTTATGTAAGTTATGTTGTTATTATGTTGATTCAGGTTGGCTCCAACTAATGTTGTTGTTAGGTACCATTCAGTTGCTTCTGATTCACAGTAGCCATATGCACAACACAACAAAACACTGCCCTGTCCTGTGCTATCCTCACAGTTGTTGTTCCTTTTTAGCCCAGTGGGCTCTGACTCATTGCAACTCCATATAGGGTTTCCAGGAGCAGTTGGTGCTTTTGAACCATCTACATTGTGGTTAACAGTCTACTCCTCATCCTACTGCTAAGTGATTCACTGTAAACTTGTTAAAGAGAATACAAGAGAGTTATAGAACCTTTTAAGGAATGGAGACATTATTAATGACAATGCTGCCACTTACCTATTTGGAAATGTTCATCCTATGTTTGGCACAGTAATTAAATTTCCATCAGTAAACTGGTCTACTCTTGAAGTTACAGATAAGCTCATGAAATGACCACAGAATGCACATTGTGGTCAGGCCCAGAACCAACCACAGGGCCTGATCCTGTGTTTATGTATCAGAGGCAGACAGAAAGCAGCAAGTCCCCCTCACATGCAAAGGGAAGCATGCCTCAGGGTCGTCGCTGCCCTGTCAGGGGCTCTGAGCCTCAGTTACAGGGTCATCACTGTGTGTAGTCCAGCTAATGGAAGCTGTTTATTATGTCCTCTGGTTATTACAAGTAGATGGTAGTCTCAAAAAAACAAACAACTCAACTAAAATATAAACTGTTCAATTACTCTTTACATGTGAATTGAAATGTCTCACTGGTGATCATTACATATGTACTTACTTGCATACCAAGAACTCTTTAAATGTAGCTTAAGGAAATCTTCCCATAAATTAGGTTTACATAATAATAACAATACTAACGTTAATAACATCTATATTGTATTTACCACTTGCTATAAGACAGGAGTCCTGGTGTGGCACTGTGGGTTAATGTGCCAGACTGCAAAGCCGTTTGAACTACAAGGTCAGCGGTTCAAGCTCACCAGCTGCTCCTCAGAAACCCTACACAATGTTGCTATGGGTCAGAACTGACTCAACGACACTTAACAACAGCAACATAAGACAGAAACAATGCTAAACACTTTATCTAACTATAATGTGTTTGTTACTAATATTTACATTTAAAAGTTGAAGAAATATGCTTCATTCAGTAAAATTACCCCTAAATTGCAAAGTTACTTAATGACAAAGACAGAACTTAATTTTGATCTTATTCAATCTGTTATATTATCTTGTAAATTGTAGCCATGTGGAATAAGTGATGAAAGGTACAGAAACTATGAAATAGTACAGAAGTAATGAGACAATTGAAAGCATAATGTTTATCATTGAATCTGATTCAGGAAGTCTACAGACAATTCATTTTAGATCAATTATTTTAAATCTTAAGTATTTTTATAAAACTGATTTTTTGTTGTTATTTCTAATAAAGTCTTCAAGTACTTTTGGGATTTGGTCGCTATGAGTCAAAACTGACTCAACAGCACTTAACAAACAAAAAAGCTATAAATGGAGTTCTGATGTGGCGCTGTAGGATAAAGCACTGGACTACAAGGTAGGCTTCAACCTCAAGGTCAGAAGTTCAAATGCACCAGCGGTTCCTCAGAAGCCCTATACAGGGTCTCTATGAGTTGTAACCAACTCAAAAACACTTTACAACAAAATCTGTTATAGCTGTAAATATTTTTTATTTCAGTAATGGATATTCTTGACAAAAGAAATGTGGAAAGTGTAACCTGAAATTACTTTATAAATGTCACCATTAGTACAATTGTGTGTGTATGTGTCCCTTTTAATCCATCTACATTTTTATATAAGGAGTTATAATAGCATAGTGGTTAGGAGTCGGGCTGCTCCTCAAGGTCAACAGTTGGAAACTGTAAGCCATTTGGTGGTAGAAAAATGAAGCTCTCTGTACCCATAAAGATTTACAGCTTCAGAAATCCTATGCAGGGTCGCTATGAGTCAGATCTGGCTCTCACGGCACCACCAACACCACATCTTTACATACAGCATAACAAAATGTATGGCCTTTGAGTTCGTTCTGACTCATCCCAACTCTATATGATGTGGTAGAACTGTATAGAATATTTTCAAGGAAGAAACCCTGGTGTCACAGTGAGTTAAATATTGTTCTGTTAACACAAAGGTCAGAGTCCTGATGTGGAGCTGTGGGCTAATTCATCACATTGCAAAGTCGTTTGAACTGCAAAGTCGTTGGTTCAAGCTCACAAGCTGCTCCTTGGAAACCTTATACACGGTCATTATGGGTAAGAATCGATTCAACGGCACTTAACACTAACAATAACCCCAACGTCAAAGTTGAAACTCACCTAGAGTCATTTACTGTCTCAGAAACCCTAAGTAGCAGTTCTTCTCTGTCAGATAGCATCATTATTCCTCAGCATTGACTCAATGGTGCAGGATTTGGTTTTGGTTTTTAAATCTTTTCAGAAGCGACTGTCACATCTTTCTCCCTCAGAGGGGCTGGTAGGTTTGAACTGCCAACCTTGTGGTTAGCAGTCCAACAATTAACACACTGAATCATCAGGGCTCCTAAATATTTATATTGTTGTTGTTACTAAGTGCTCTATAGTCAGTTTCAAATCATAGCCACCCTGTGTTGGGTTTCCAAGGAACAGCTGATGAGTTTCAACTACTGACCTTGTGGTTCAACTGACCTTGCAGTCCACTACTTTATCCACAGTGCCACACCACTACTCCATTTATATTTATATACACATACTTATATATATTTTATATAGCTATATAATATTATCATACATATATATATATACATATAATATATCAATACTTTAGTATATATAATATAGAATGTATATAATGCATAATATATATAAGGAGCTCTGGTTACGAATCGGGCTGTGAACTGCAAGGTCAGCAGTTCAAAACTACCAGCTGCTCCGTAGGAGAAAGATGAGGCTTTTTGCTCTCATAAAGATTTACAATCTTGGAAACCCTGTACAGGGTCGCTATGGGTCGGAACTGACTCCACGCACATAACACATAACCATCACCACCATAATATATATAATGTATAATATAAGTATTATGACACAATTTATATATAGTGAGAGACATACAATTTTTTTTCCATTGTATAACCCACCCATTGCTGTCTAGATGAATTCCAGCTCATAAGGACCCTATAGGACAGAAGAGAATTGACCCATAGGGTTTCCAAGGATATGAATCTTTATGGAAGCACGCTTCCCCATCTTTCTCTTCTAGAATTACTGGTGGTTTAGAACACTAAGCTTTCAGTTAGCAGTTGTGCTTAAATATTGTACCACTAGGGCTCCTTTTCCATCCTATGTAAGCCTTAAACTCTTCATAACCATACATAGGTATAGTTCATAGTTATTTCATTTATTATTCTAAAATAACATATAAAACTGGGTCAGGCTTTTTGAGCTCCATTGGTTAATAAGCTCTGGACTGCTACCCACAAGGTCAGCAGTTCAAACTTACCAGTAGCTCCTCAAAAATCCTTTATAGGGTTACTATTAGTCAGAATTGACTCAACAACAACAGAATGATTTGTGACCAACTCTGTTTGAGTAGTTTGAATATTTTTCAGTAATCCAGAATTCATATATATTACAAAACTAGTTTTGGTAAACCTATTCAATGACGACATTCTCATAAGCCCTCAGGAATTACTGTGTGAATGACTGTACTGAATTCTAGAAGCCTGAAATCTAGACAGAGAGAAAGACATTAACAAAAAAAAAAATTTATACAAGCATCTGAATGAAAACGTGATTCAGGCTAAGAAAGAAGACTCCATCAAATTGCAATGATAGACAACTTTTAGAATTAAACATACTTTGGGATACTTTCTTTGAAGCGTCTGTAAAGAATGACAGAAAATGTTGAGATTAAACGTATTTGTAACTTACAATTTTTAAAGCATAGATAAATAGTAAGTTAGCACCGGCAGTAATAAAATAACATACTTTCCTATTTATTTTCATTAATAAAATAACAGAAAACAGATAAAGTTTAAGTAGAAAGAAGAGAAAAGTAAAAGGTTAACTCTCACATTTCAAAGTGCTTTCAAGTTATATTTTATTCAGGGCTCTTGAATTAAACAAAGAATCTTTGCCTTTATAACCTTGAATATAGAAATTAATAAAGTGCAATGAGGGCTTAAATTGGCTGTCCATTCATATTTATCATAGGCAATTTGTGTAAGATATAAAGCAAAACTTAATATTGATTAATAATGATATTCACTGTGTCTTTAAACCTGCCTATTAAAATAGTCAATTTCACTAAAAAGACGTTTCCCATCATTTTTTATATTCTGAGAACACCAATAACAAAAATGTGTTATGAAACTATTACAAACAATGGGTCATGCTATACTTGATGACCTTCAAGTGTTCTTTCATTGAAAGTTACAGACATTAAGGTTGTATAATTTCAACCATATCCTTAAAATAAGCTTTTAAAAATCACTGCAGAAATCTACATGTGAAAAAAAAATATTGAAGGCCAGTTATGTGCGTGGAAGGATTCTGTTGTTAGTTACCATTGATTCAGTTCTGACTCAGGGAGACTCCATATCTGCAGAATAGAACTGCTCCATGGAATTTTCAAGGTTGTGAGCTTTTGAAAGCAGATTACTAGGTCTGTCTTCCAAGGTCTCTCTGGGTGGGATTGAATTGCCAACCTTTTGGTTAGTGGTAGAGAACTTCCTTGTTTGTGCCATCCAAGGACTCCATAAGTATTCTAGAAACTCTGAATATATAAAATAGACAAAGTCCTCAGTATTATGGAGCATATATCATACTAGGAGATGCAGAAAACGATCAAACAAAAACAAAAAAAAATTATTGCTGAGTAATGTTAAGTGTCTTGTAGAAGAATAAATCAGGATAAACAAATATACAGAGTGTGTGGGCAAGCATGGGCTATTTAAAACTGGTTGATCAATTAGAAAACCTTTCTCTAATTACATGACATCTGAGTATAAACCAAGATGAATGAAGGAAAGTATTTACCATATCTAGGGGAACTTAAGGTCAGTGGTTTGAAACTACCAGCTGCTCTGCGGGAGAAAGATGAGGCTTTCTACTCCCGTAAGGATTTACACCCTCGGAAACCCTGTACAGGGTCGCTATGGGTCGGCTCCGACTCGAAGGCACTTAACAACAACAACAAGGGGAACTTATCTAATGATTTCGCAGGAAAAAAAGGACTGATGATCTTCTCCTGTATAGTTTGGGAGAGGGGGTTCTGGGGTGCCTGGAGTCGGTTCTGACTCTTAGAAACCCTGTACAGGGTTTCTGAAGCTGTAAATCTTTATGGGAGCAGAAAGCCTTATCTTTCCCCATGGAGTGGCTGGTAGTTTCAAACTGCTGACCTTGAGGTTAGCAGCCCGACTCGTAACCACTACACTAGAAAAACCTATGGAACAGTTCTACTCTATCACATATGGTTGCTATGACTTAGGCTAAATTTAATAGCACCAGCCACTCCTCGGACACCCTACACAAGGTCACTACGGGTGGGCACTTAACAACAACAACAGTATGGTGCTGTATGATAAGCAGTGAATTGCTAACTGCAAAATCGGCAGTTCATATCCACCAGCTACTCCTGCAAAATCTGATACAGGATCAGAACCAACTAGACAGCACTAAACAACAACAGTGATGGAAGCCAATGGTAATGTCAAGAACAAATGTTGGTAGGAATATGATTGAGAAACAGCAAGGGGAATAATGTGGCAAAACTATATTGCTATTGTTGTTAAGTGTTGTCCAGTTGGTTCTGATTTATAGTTATCTTAGCACAATAGAACAAAACACTGTCTGGTTCTACACCATCCTCACAGTTATTTTTATGTTTGAGCCCTTTGCTTCAGCTACTGTGTCAGCCCATCTTGTTGGGAATTTTCCTTTTACACGGACACTCTACTTTACCAAATAAAATGTCCTTCTCCAGAAACTGGTCCCTTCTGACAACATGTAAAAATACTTGAGACAAAGTCTTGCCATCCTGTCTTCTAAGGAGCATGCTGGTTATACTTCTGAGACAGATTTGTTTATTCTTCTGGTAGTCTATGGTACTTTCAACATTCTTGGCCAACACCATAATTCAAATGCATTTTTTTTTTTTTTTTTTTTGGTCTTCCTTAGTCATTGTCCAGCTTTCACATACATATGAGGCAAAACTATAGTACAGTGTTTTTCAAACTTTAATGGAAATCAGGATTACTTGGAGATGGTATTAAAACACAAACTGTCTGCAGTTGGAAGTAGCCTTGGTGGCTCAGAGTTTAAGTGTTTGGCTGCTACCCAAAAGTTAGCAGTTTGGCTGCTACCCAAAAGTTAGAACCCAACAGTTCTGTAGTAGTAAGATGTAGCAGTCTGCTTCTGTAAAGATTACAGCTTTTGAAATGTTTTAAGGCAGTTCTACTCTGTCCTACAGAGTCCTGGTGTGGCGTTGTGGGCTAATGCGTCAGACTGCAAAGTCATTTGAACTGCAAGGTTGGTGGTTCAAGCTCACCAGCCGCTCCTTGGAAACTCTATACAGGGTTACTATGGGTCAGCATCGACTTGATGGCACTTTACAACACAAAAACAACAAACTCTGTCCAACAGGGATGCTAGGAGTCAGAATTGACCCCATAGCAATGACTCTGGTTTGGGTTTTTGGTGTCTCCAGGCTATGCTGATAGAGCTGGTTTAGAGACACTACATTTTGAAAATCACTGCTATCAAGGGAGCGCTGAGAAGTTGTTAGAGGTGATGTGGAGAGAGCAGTTTAGTTCATATACCATAGATTGTCAACCATGGTGTGGCACTGTAGATAAGCACTGAACTGCAAATCCAAAGGTCAGCAGTTCAAACCCACTAGCTGCTCTCAGAAACCCAATACAGGATCACTATGAGTTACAATCAACTTAACGTCACACAACACTACCACCATAATCGCATGCAGTATAATAGATGTATGTTATTGTGGTTAAATTCTGACTCGTAGCAACACTGGATAGGGTTTCCAAGGAGCGGCTGCTGAGTTTGAACTGCTGACCTTGTTGTTCAAACTTACCCTGTGGTTCAGTGCTTTTCCTACAGCACCATACCAGGCCTCCATAGCATAATAAAATAGCATAATATACATAATGTGAAATAATTGGTTTAACATGCTACAGTGCCATATATAGGCGTTCTCCTGTGGTGCTCTGGGTTAATGCACTGGACTGCAGAGTCAGTTTGAACCCCAAGGTTGATGGTTCAAGCTCACCAGTTGCTCCTTGGAAACCCTATAGAGGGTTGACTTGATGGCACTTAACAACAACATATATCAATTATATTATATCACATTATATATATTATGCTGCGGAGATTTGCAGGCTATGAAACTTTCTGTTTTACTGTAACTTAGATGAGAAGTTATCAGTTTAACAAGACAGGAGTGGCACAAATAAAAAATGTGCTTAGTACTGTATGTGAATTACATACAATTTCTGCATTAATAGCTAAAACAAGTTCATGTTTACTGTTGCTCAAGAATGTGGGATAATTGCATGTTAAGATGAAAAAAACAAAAACAAAAACGCTTGCAGCATCTTGTGGATTTGATTAACTCCAAACATGACCATATCATTTCAACAAGAAGCAAAAAGGATATTTTAATACCCAGTCAGCATAGATTGATGCTACAGCCATCTCTAAAGCCTCCAATAAAATATTTTCCAACTATAAGGACATAACCTGGTACTTAATTTTATTTGACCAATTTAAGAAAACAGTATTAAGGTACAGAAAGTCCACAAATTTGGAATCTTTTTTCTAGTAATGTTTTAATTGCTTATTATTTTATCTTTTGTAAAAACTTATAATTAGGTGCGTGAAGGTGAACCCATAAGTGAAAATGGAGACCAAAATAAAGCATCAAATAATGAAGGAGGTCTGGGTAAAAAAATGAGAGCTATTTCCTGGACCATGAAGAAAAAAATGGGTAAAAAATACATAAAAGCCCTTTCTGAGGACAAGGTAAGTGTATTCTGTTAATCACTTATATTTTTCTATCAGAAATTTCTTAAAATATTCAATAGGTTCTTCTTCTAGATATAGAAATACTTTGTTTTCTGAGGTACTTAAACATTTATTTTGTTCCTTAACCATTATGCCAATACCTTTGGTTGGAAAAAGTATTATAACTTCCATTTTAACGGAAGAAATTGAAGCACAGAATAATCATAGTATGTGAAGATCGACATGCCACACAAATTGTAGCCTGTATCAATATGTCGTTCCTTTTCATTGCCAAGTACTTTTTCATTGAATGATTATATCACTTTTTGTTTATCCATTGAATCAGTTTTGCACATTTGGATCGGTTCTACTTTTTCACTATTGTAAATAAAGCTGCCTGTGAACATTTGTGTACAAGTTTTTGGGTTGATATATTTTTTATGGGTTTTTACTACTCCTCAATGTTTAATATTTTGTCACCACTCATCTGTTAGTCTGTAGTACTGTGGTGGCTTGCATGTGGCTGAGATGCTGGAAGTTATACCACTGGTATTTTCAATACCAACAGGGTCACCGGTAGTGGATAGGTTTCAGTGGAGCTTCCAGACTAAGACAGACTAGGAAGATGGAGAGGTGGCCCACTTAAGAATGATTAGCCACTGAAAACCCTCTGAATATCAGTAAAACCTCGTCTGATACAGTGCTGGAAGATGAGCCCTTCAGGTTGAAAGATACTGAAAATGTGAAATGGGAAGATCTGCCTTCTAAAGTAGAATTTACCTTAATGACAATGATGGATTAAAACTTTTGGAACCTTTATTTGCTGATGACCTTCATTTGCTAATGAGAAGAAGCAGCTGCAAACATGCATTAATAATCAGAACATGAATATACAAAGTATGACCCTAGGAAAACTGGAAGTTGTTAAAAATGAAATGGAACACAAAAAGATCTGTATCCTAGGCATCAGTGAGCTGAAATGGACTGGTATTTGGCCATTTTGAATAAGACAATCGTATGTTTTACTATGTCCTGAATAACAAATTGAAGTGGAAAGGTATTGCATTCACTGTTAAAAAAATCTCTCTGAAGTACAATGCTGCCTGTGATAGGATAGTATTCCTATGCCTACAGGGTACCCCCTCTTTGATCTATGGTGTCCTGATGTGGCACTGGACTGTTAACCAGAAGGTTGGCAGTTCAT